TAAGAACGGTCTTGCCTTTGGTATTAGCACCTTGTATGTCAGGGCTACAGTGGAGGGACGGAAAAACTCACAATTGGATTGTATATCATAAAAGACAGAATGGAGAACACAACAAAACAAATTACGAGGGGGGTCTCACCATCCAGGTACATTCTTTTATTGTTGTATTCCTACCAAGAATACAACAAGCAAAAGTAGAGGATACAGTTTTAAAGTACACGTAATTTTAATCCAAGCATAAGTAGAGTAAATAGTTTTTAAGTACACGTAGTTTTTATCCATATGCAGTACCAAATATTTATTCTACCTTTTAGCTTAATTCATTACTACTTTATTATGCTTAGTTGTATATTTGAATTCTTAGCCCACAAAGGAAAACTATTTCTGAAATTTATATTTTTATTGGATGAGTAAATTTTAAGATAAAACTGCATTTGTATGGGAGCATTGGGCAAATAAGAATACACAGCATCTCTGCTTTATCTCTATGCCCCTCCATTCCCTCCACTTATTTGATTCTCTTAGAGAAGCCCATTTTATACCTCTCAATAGAGAAAGATTTATTCAAATGATAACAGATAAAACACAAAGAGCAGAAATTGTGTCGAATACACGTTAATGCGTAGAGTTTTCAACTCTGCGCTGTTAACGTTTTCTCCAATTTTATTTCTGAATATAGATTTTTATCAGACATGTGGCATAACAAAGATTAAACATGGGTGCAAATCCGTTAACGTATTAATTCTCCTAATAAGATGAACGTCCCTTGAAGCGCATTCAGAACAGCGGACTAACAGGACAGCGGATCAAATATGGCGACCCATTAAAAAGACACTGAATAGCTTCCCCGCGGGGATTACGCAACAAGCATTCAAGGAGGTCGGCTATATTTGATCCGCGGATCTGTTAGTCCTCTATTCTGTATGCGATCTTGGTCCTGTTCGCGAGAGGAATATTGCGTTAGTTGTCCATCGCATCTCTCTCATCAACACATTCACTGACTATGAGGCGAAAGTGTGGTGAGATGGCAGATCAATGGTTATACATCAACGACTTCATAAAAGTGCACTGAGTTTGGAATGCCGTCTTTTCTTACTGTTTTCTTTTCTTTTTCTTCTATTTTATTATTATTATAATTTTTTTTTTGAGAATAACGTCTCCAAAACTTTTTCAACATTAAAACTTTTTACTGTAGATTTTTGACGATTTTTAAAATAAGAATAGCAATATGCAATTTAGATTTTTTTTTGCTAAAATCTATCTCAGAACAAATTATTTTTGTTTTCATTTAGATGGAAACAGATATTCACTTATGCTAATTTGAAAATATGAACACCGTTTACTTTACAATAAGTGATGAATATGAAGAATATAAGGGTCGATTTATGCGGTATGACGATTTATAAAGATCGAATCATTGGGGATGCATTCCGTATTAAGGAGGCTCTCTCATATTTCAGAATTACCATTTTTGCCTAGCGATTTCGATAAAAATCTTGAGTTGCACACTATATTGCTCTATTAGGTTTAATGCCTTGTTGTAATCGTATACTAAAAGCGAAATCTGTGCAGATAGCAAAAAAAAAAAAAAGGGAAATATGAGAGAGCCTCCACAAATGGAAGCACAGTAATGAGTTAGCTCGCGTTATGTATTACAAATGGCTTAAATGATATGTCAAATTCTGTGATGAACGGTCATACCAGCAGAAAACCCCACTCCGAACCGCAAAGCGTTCCGGTTATCAATCCTTATTTTGGCTCACTCATTCTCACTCTGCAGTCCGTGTAACTGAAATAAGGAATGAGCTGCACGGATTTCAACCATACTGTAACGTTAAGGAGAGATGTCCCCGCAAACATATATCCGTCATTCTCAGACAACACCGTTAATTTCTTTTTTCTCGTCTGGTAAGCGTATGCTGTCTTCTGGCGCCGTGTACGTGACACAGTTTCCGTTGACCTGAACTCGTCTGTGCTCACGCTCCTGGGGATGCCAGTCCAAACTCGGTTGAAGTAACCTCATGAAACGCTGAAAAAGCCGTCATTGTTTTAAGGTTGAATTATTCATTGCTTCATCTATACAAGACCCATTCGTCAAAACTTGCGAAAATAAATTACTTCAGATATATAATGCATTCTTTCCTACACCATCAGCTTTAATTGTTCCTTTGTTTAATAATAATAATAATAATAATTTATTCGAGCATTAAATGTGGCAGTTACATTTGTTAGCCCTCTATACTACAAATATATAAATAAATAAATAGTTATACATCACTATGGATTACTACTAAGAACAGTTTTATTAGTGATTTAAAGTTGTGTGCAATTTATTTTCTGGAAGTCAGAAGGGTAATAAAGTTGAACAGGTTAATGTACTTTTTTTCCTGAACTTGACATAGGCACTACTAAAATCGATTTGCATTTTTCGCAATGGAAGTCAGAACGCAACGCAATTGTAACCCTATGTATGAACTGACACAAATCATGTCAATCTAATGATTCTCTGCACGCTTCACATAACTAAAACAAGAAACCAACTGCGTGAGAAAATTTTCCAATCTCAAAAATCCACTGCAGAACGCAACGCAATCGATGTCTCGCCTACCATTTTCAAGTTTTCCTCCTTGCTCTGGTAAAGTCTCCAGGCGGCAATTGCTGGAATCGGGATGAGAGGGATGACTGCAACCGTCCACCCAAGGGGCTCTGCCCAATCTGGATACTGGTAGCTACCGTAGGTGGGAGCTTTATAGTTGAACAATGTGAACACCAGCAGGAGCTAAAATGATGCAGACTTATTATCAAAATTGAAATAAAATCTTCTTATTGTATATATGGGCAATCGATTAATAAAGTCATGTAGTCTGGGTATTTAAATTTGTTTTGGCATTCACTGTATCAATAAAAAGTTATCATTTATTAATGGTTTGAAAGTGTTATGTGAAGGAAAAAGCAGCCTGGAAAATAAATACCTGTTCCACAGTAATACGGCCAACATTAAAAAAAAAACACGTGAATGAAAACCCGCTGTATATAGTGCATGTATGAAGAACTGTGAACATATTTAGTTATATGTACGTTTTTTAAAAGTCTAAAAAATCAAACGTACTATGGTATTTACTTAAAATGGCACTAATATTGTTTGATATTTACAAATTGATAAATGAATATAGATAAAAATAGAAATTAAAAATCAACCAACCATCAACAAACCGGGGGTGACAGCCCACCAACAGATTTTCCAGAGAATAAACGTAGGCTGTCCCACCATCTGTTCAATATCCTCACAGATCCTTCTAACACCTAAAATAGAAATTTTTACAATTGTATCGGACTTTTGAAGACAAGGTAGAATCAGCTAAGTCAAATCAATTATAAAGATAAACATTTGCAAATGTTTGACCCAGCTGTCTATAACATCAAGTACAAAATGATACGTCTTCACAAAAAATAAATAAATAAATAAACAACCAGTGCTGGGATATGTATCGAACATTCGTACATAAGAAAGATATACTTACCATAGACATAGGCCAGAACCACTGACTCAAATATGGCAATGATGACGATAGCAATGGCCGCACAATACCAATCCATGAACTGGAACACGTAAATTCCTCCCTAGAAGAAGACACATACTGGTATTTATCTGAGTGTCCTGATCGAGAGAGAGAGAGAGAGAGAGAGACATGATATTTGAATAACAGTGAGATGAGCTTAATTAGTTTTAAAGCAATGATGAAAGAACTCGAAGCATCACTCAGAAACAAACAAAAAAATGTATATGAGATTTCCAGTCGACTTGAAAATAACTTTCTCATTTCCCGAAAGACTGCTACAGTAAGCTTAAGGTGGTAAAAGTTCAAATGAAGGTATTTATTAATTAATATTGGAAATGACGATATCCAAACACTTACATTGGTTACCAATGGGAATCCGATAAAATACATGAGGGCGCAGACCACGAATGTAAAAAGAGTTCTTCGTTTCCTTAGAAGTTCTGGAAATTCGTCAATAACGCTCCCAGTCAGGGTTTCCAGAGTTACAAACTGTAATAAAAAGCTGATACTTGTAGCACATATGCATATACATATACATAAACAGTTACATAAACTGGTACATAGACGCCAAACAACGCTAAAGTATCAACACTTTGTACTTTGTTCAGCAGGAATTCTGAAAAACGGGGTGAAAAACCTTCCTATCTCTTAAAACCGTCTGTAGGCCAATGCATACTGTATTTCTAGAAATTTCTAACCCAATCCACGATCAAATAGCACATTCTTTTTCCAATCATTTTTATATTAGATTCTACTGAAAGTATGGCAAATAAATGTCGTAATACTTGCCTGTGAATCAAGTCCTAGTGTCAGTAGCATCATGAAGAACAAAATTGCCCACAGTGGCGACAATGGCATCAGAGCTATAGCCTCTGGGTAGGCTATAAAAGCAAGACCGGGTCCTACAACCAGATGGAACAGATTATGTCTGTACAATAACTTGCATTGATTCCTAAACACAATTGCATTTGCTTGCAGATAGTGTTCTTAGTTAAGTTTCGCTAGTTTTATGCCTATAACCGAAACACCGTTATGTTATTTAAGGTATTCTAGAAAAAATAATTTCAGCACAAAAAAAAAAAAAGAAAGAAAGAAAAAGAAAAAGGTATATAACTGTAAAAACTTTTGAATGGCAGTTTTGTATAAAGATTAGACAATATTAGCGAAATTATTCTCTGTCACTTTTTTCCTAAATCCTATAAAGTAATAAGGTATATACATAACGTAAAAACGTGATCATAGTGGAGATCCTAAGCCTAATTTTTTTAAATATACCGTGGGAATAAGGAACTTAAACTAGCTTTTGGGTTTGAGAAATATCACCTAACGCAGTACACTAGACTGTTACACGCACTAACGTGCAACAAGAAGGCAAATGTGTATTTGCGCTAGGGAAACACTTATCAGAGATAATAAACATGTGCAGATAAAGCAAAAGCAATAGCAAAACACTCTTTTTACGTTATTAATAAGGTAAACTGACTAAACTACACATTAATTCACACTTAAGATTCAGCGAGGCAGGGGACCGCCTCCCAGGTACGTACCACCAGCCGGATTTGTGCTTGAAAGTGGCACAATATTAACCATTTTCAGCTGTGAACGTAGATGTATGAGAAGATGAAATTGAAGGCAATAAGATATCTAAAATGTAAAACAGTTTTGGTTTAGGCATAAAATAGCTGCAATACCTGTCGATAATGCATGAATTTTCTAAAATCATGACAACTTGGTTAATACCCAAATTAGATACACTAGCGTTCTATAAATGTTCATGTATTTGAAGTATTATTTTGTAGAAAGAGATGTAGAACAAGCTTTTTGATACTACAAAAATATTCAATTTTGCAAAGCAAAATCATATTTGAATTCTTAACACGTAACCTCAATAGCAAACAATCTTCAAAGAGGTTGAAGCCAAATGGGAAGGTACATAATGCTGATATTTTGCTTCTCTTAAACAAAGTGCACTTAAAACTATATATCTTGGCATTTTTCACAAATGTGGTCATAAAAAATAATAGAGGTGCTGAGATTATGCTCACAAAAAGTCACTTAAATCGGGGCATAACTAAGCTCAACATCTCTACTATATTTTATTAATAACAGAGATATCCAATCCTTATAATTGCAAGCATACTACATATGTCAAGGCATACAGCTACTTGCACATTGAATGGCAAATTAAGGCCTTTTACAGGATTTCAAAGAGGTTCATAAGCTTTCTATGTGTATCATGCGATGAAAGATGATCTCAACAAACGTAGAGACGAAAGTTAAGCAAATCGACATTTTGTGCTCATATTTGTGTTTCACAAGATATAATCTCATTGTTTATAAGCGTCGTCGCACTGATTATATATATATATATATATATATATATATATATATATATATATATATATATATATATATATATAATCGACTTCACGTAAGTTAGGTCAAAACATAGTGCCTCAATTGTTAAAAGAAAATTATGGCATCGTTGTTAAAAACACAATTTACGCATATTTTTGATGTTGGAAAATTTGAATGCCAATGCGAAATTACTGGTGTTTATCTGTTTAGACCCATTAAGGAATATTTCCTCCTTGGTTTGTCACCGCAAAGCGACAACACCTCAAAAATTAACTAGTGTTCTGACATTCTTGTTCATGACCGTGACATGTAACTGCACTCCAGCACTAGACGCATAAATGTACCAAAAATATTGAGCGCTCAAGTTGTTTAAGTTTCAAAACTAATAATAAACTAATAATAAAAAAAAAATTATGCTCAACTTTTGTCTCTATGTTTACAAAGAACGTTACTTTGCCGCCATCATGGTTGACGTATCCCTCATTTTCGCAGGAAAATGCACATAGTTGAGCTGAAAGGTGGTTCTGATTTTAAGACTAGAATTGAGGTTTACTTTAATTCAAGGATCTTTCTTTAGTTTTAGTTCTAAAATATAAAATGACTTAAGAAATAAAACATACATTTTCTCCTTTTTTTGTAACACAAACATAATACGCCAATTTTGAGGACCTTCAAATATTAACCAAAGGTAAAAGCAGAAAGCAAAATATTTTGTCCTTAAAATAAGAAATATGATATTGGCCCCAGATGACCGCCAAGTACTTTTACAGCAAAGAGCCTGTAGCTTGTGTGCTGTAACTTGCCTAGCGGCCAGTAATTTCAATCGCAAGGTACATGTCGGACGTCAACCACGATAACCGCAAATTACATTGCGAAAGTTTCCCCCTGTTTGTATCA